TTTCAAATCGGTTATTAAAAAAGATTTATCACTTTGTTATAATGGATAGTCACTCATTTAGTCATTTATAAATCTAACATGTTTTCCGATATTAGGCTATAAGGTGCCATCAAAAAAGTAGATTTTTTTAAAATGTAGATTTTTAAAACTTCATTATATATTATGTTCAAACTTCAAAGAATCGTTCAAATTAGATTTTTGTTTATAAATTTCTTATGTAAAGGTCATTGTCTAAAGTTGGAAAGAATGCAAATTGCAACGTTCACTGTCCATTTGAATAAGCAAATATCCATGTAATGAATTTTTAAAAAAAAAAAAAAAAAGAAAAGAAAAAAAAACCCGAGCCTGCTCGGCCCGGGCTCGGCTCGGCCCGCTAAGGCTCGGGCCTAAAGCTCGGGCCGAGCCTCATTTTTTTGGCAGGGCCCGGCTCGGCTCGACTCGGGCCAAAAAAAGCTTGGTCCAAAAAAGCTCGGGCTCGGCTCGTTGCCGCCGCTATCTAAATTCACGTAGATTAAAATTCATCAAATCTAGATTCATTGAATCTAGATTAATGTGAATATTAATTAATTGAGAATTAATAACACGAAATTCTTACATGACAATGATTTTGTAATATTTATTACATATTAAAAAATGAAAAGTAAGGTATTATTCAAATAAATGAATTATAGTAGTGTTAAAATCTTTCAAAAAATGATTATTACTTGATATGATATTTAATATATTATAGATATGAATACTTGCTAAACATATTCTAAAATTTTGATCGAAAATCAGTAATTCATCACTTGACCAAGTAATTTAAATATTATAAGTTTTAGACTTGTGTAATCCAGCTACTTTTATTCTATTAAGACAAGGATAATTGTACTGCGATATCTAAGTTTTTCAAATTTTTGCAAAGTTTATCTAACTTTTCATTCGTGTCATCCGCAATCTCAAACTTTGAAAATAGTCTCGGCACAATGACAAAATGACAGAAACCATCAGTTCAACCATTAGTTGACTTAGAAAAAAAATTATTTTGACCAATTAAAAGAATGGTATTTTCATCACTTACATTTCTTAAGTAAAAATAGTTATAACAATGAATAAAAGAAAAAACAAATGCGCTCACTCCACTCACCTTCTCCATCGAAACGTCGTCTTCTTTCCCTACCCTACTCCTACATCCCACTTCCACCCTCACCCCACTCCACTTTGAAAAAAGGCATTTACCACACCCATCGCCATCCATCTTTGAAATTAATAAATCTCTATGGATGAGTCGGACAGCCAAAGTTCAAGTATATTTTAGTTAACATTTCACATGAGTTTGTGTATCTACATTTATGTTTTTTTCTTAGTGTTTGGTAGGTGGAATTTTATGACGATTGATGACAGATCATCTTCAAAATTCTTTCGATATTCGTTTTGATCTGCTGTGAAACCTAAAGAAGATAAGCGAATGATTGCTAATTCTGCAAACTCTACATCTCGAAGACATCTCTCTTTCACTATTTGTGCGTGTGCATGTCAATTGCTTAATGTTTTGATTCTTGTACAAGTATAATTCTCTTTACTTCAAATTGCTAAGGAAGAAAATTTCACATCGAATAAAAATGTAAATGTAGATCAATTTATAAGGGTTTGTATTACTTCTCTTAATAAGGTTGACATTTTAAGATATAATCTCAAATTTTAATATGATATCAGAGTCCGTTAAAGTTCAACGAGTGATTCGATCCGATTCAAACTAAAAAAAATGAATACATGAATTTCAAGATTGATCTGCTCAAACGAGTCACCATATTGCGGGACATGTTATGGAATGAAATTTCATATCGAATAAAGATGAAAATATAGATCAATTTATAAGGGTTTAGACTACTCCTCTTAATAAGGTTGACCTTTTAAGATGAAACTCTAAATTTCAATACAAATCACTCTTGCAACTCGTTATTTTAAAGTAATGTGGGGGTTTGGATTTGCCCGTTAACGTGGTATATATGTTGAAGGATGAGTAGCTTTGGTAATGGTGGAGTTGGCGGTGATTGTGTAGTTGGAGTTGGCGGTGTTGGTGTAATCAGGCCAGGGTGGGCGGTGGCGCATGGGTGGAATTTTGAATTTTTTTTTTTTTTTTGGGAGGGGGAAAAAGAGATGAATAATTAATTTTATTTTTAAAATTTTAATTGTTTTTACGTAGGAAATATAAAGTTACAAAAATATCATTCTTTGAATTGGTCAATTTTTTTTAGGTCAATTAACTTTTCCTCGTTCCGTTCTTGTGTTGAGACTAATTTAAAGTAATACTCTAAAAAACGTAAAAGGTGATTAGGCGTAGAGGGGAAGTTTTAAACTTTACGAGGCGCAAAAAAAGCGTTTTCTTATTTTTAATATTATTTTAAATTTTTAATTGTTTTAAAAATCATTTAATAATTAAAATAATACATATCAAATGTCAAAGATTCTAAAAGTATAAAATACTGTAATTACTTAATAATTCATATAATTAGTCAATTATACAATTTTTAAGTTTTCGAAATATAAAATCTAGACTTTTTTCATAGTTTCAATTTTCAACTAGACAAGTCATACTTGATAGATTTATGAGAACTTCATACACGCTCTTGAAGTTTTCAACAAAATGATGAGTATCAAAATCAAAATTACATATGTAGATAGCAGCATAACTTTAATCTTGTTTTACTCTTTATCGAATAAAGTCATTTTTAACTTTTGTGGAGATGAAGTCTTTTACAAATTTGAAGCTAAAGTCAAATAATTTTTAAAATAAAAAATTAATAAACTAAAGTCAAATAAAAAATATTTTTTTAAAAAGAAAATAAAATTTAAAAAATTTAATAAAGCGCGCTTAAAGAAGACGAAAGAAAGGAAGGAAAAAATTCAACCGTTTAGGAATTGAAAAAAAAAAGGGACCTAGACGCGAAGCGAAGTATTTTGTACTAGTTTTGTGCCTAGACGTCTAGACGAAAGAATACTGATTTAAAGGTTTGTGATTGTGGTTGACACAAATAAAGGATTTTAGTAAAAAAAAAAAATGAAACACTTGCGATTAATTTACTTGCGCACTTATTATACACACCTCCGATTACACTCTTTTATGTGTCAAAAGTTTGGCCTTGTATTTAAAAAATATTGTTAAAATTAATGTATCAAAATATGTCAAGCTCGCCAAGATTTAAATTAAGGCCATGTTTGAGAGAGATTAAGTTTTTCTACAGTAAATTAATTCTTATTTTCAACTACACATTCTTCAATAAAATAATATTTTACATCACATCAATAACCTTTTCTTCTTTTTTAACCACACATTTTCCATCATATCACTATTCAAAATCAATTCTTCCCCCAAAAATATCTCCAATACAAGCTCAACATAGCATGCTCACAATTATCCCATTAGTACCATCAACGTCCAGGCTATCAGCCCCAGCCTCCACCTCAAACTCCGCTGCGCGACACAGCCACCGCTACCGCTATGAATTCACTCCTCTCCACTTCACCCTACCCACATTTCTCACTTACCCAAAACCGCTCCTCTCTCTTCAAACAAGCCCCAAAACCAATCCTTTTCCTCCACCCTTCCAAACCCCTAAAATGCTACTTCAACAATTCTTTCTACCAACCAAACACCTCTACAACCCACAATCCCAAAACCCCATCTCCAGATTCCCTATTGCTCAACCTCTCTGCCTCCGCCCCGCAGACTCCTGCCACCGCGATACGCGGGGCTGAGGGAGACGCCATGGGCTTATTACTGAAGGAAAGAATTGTCTTTTTGGGGAACGACATTGATGATTTTGTAGCTGATGCTATTATCAGTCAGCTGCTTATGCTCGACGCTCAGGACCCTACTAAGGATATTCGACTGTTTATTAATTCCCCAGGTGGCTCCCTAAGGTATTTATACTTGTTCAAAAATATATATGTAAATGCCGTTTCTTGTGATGAATTTGTTCTCAAATATTTCTGTGATTGATGTGTGTGGCATTGTTTTTGTTTGCCGTATTCTAAATAGCGATCTTTAGTACTTCGGCCATGGAAGATAGATATCTAATTAAATCCTACATCCGGAATCAAAATGATGACAAAAAGGGAGAAACTGATGGAGATAGAATTCCTTCTCACTTTTAAGAAATCTTAACATATTGATTTTGAACACATGGGAGTCAAATTAAGTTTTTACTATTTAATGTCAAATAGTTTGTTATACTAGTATGATTGTGCAACAGTGTAGAAACATGACATTTGCATATACATAATTTCCAACATGTTTGATCTTTGATCGCCTATTAAACTTTTGCATTGTTTACCTTGTATCATTGATGCTTTCATATTGGCACGTTCCTTACCATGCTATCATCTACTGTTGTCTAAAGACGGTAGCAGTTAATGCCAAATGCAAATTCATGTTTCGGATGAATAGAGTTGCCCAAGATCACTGGATCAGATTGAATGACAGTGTAAGATTTAACGTAGTTTCTGAGGCTGTGAAAATTCATC